GAAAGGAGAAAATGGGCGGCGGGGAGAGTGACGGCGGCGGGCAGACTGTGCGCGCGCGACGGCGGCGAACAAGGCGCGCGCGCGCGACGTCGGCAGTCAGGGCGCGCGCGCGACGGCAGAGGGAGGGCGCTTGCGGGCTACGGGAGGACAGGACGTACGACGGGAGGGCAGGGCAGGGCGCGCGCGACGAGGGGAGATGGCGTGCAACTGAGCGACGAGGCGCGCGACGGGGTAGGGAGGACTCGGGGGATGGAAAAGGGGGTCCGCGAGTTTAAATAATGAGGGAAACAAAGAGAAAATCGAGGGTCGAGATGGTAGGAAACGAAAAATCTACACTGAGTGGGAGGTGGCGCCCCGGATGCCTAAGGTCTAAAGCGTCCTAAGAGATGTAAATAAGCAGAAAACGCCAAGGATTAGGCTCTGTATACCATGTTAATATAGGAGTGGTAGCCATGGCTAGGAAGATAGGTTGAAGAAAATTGATTAGGAAAAAGTGTCGAGAGACAAAAGTAGGAAACCCTAATTGAACTTAGGGTGTGTTCAGTTTGTGCTAGAAACTATTAAATGAACCTAAACTGAACCGGAGGTGTAACTCGCTCTAAGCATGGTGAAATAACAAAGGAACACCATGATAAATGCCAGAGCGAGCACTAGCCTACTCCAACACGAAATAGTAATGCGCCCTTTGTTACCGGAGAAAAAATCTCGCTCTGCAACAGGCCGCGCTCTGTCTTTCGGGCACACCTTGTGTTCGCTAAATTCCACCAATTTACTTCTTTTTTTTTGTTTTAAGTATTATCCACACGTTTTACCACGGGGAATTGACGAACGATTTTGGTTGACCAAACAGCTCGATTCGAAATTACAAATGTGCCAATTCTTGACTTCGCCGATTACCTGAATTTCGCCAACATCGCTGTGGGAAACGCTAAAAACATTTCGGTAACTTCTCGCTCATGCGTTTACGACAGTAAATGACCTATTCTAATGCCGTGAATGTAACCTTTTTTTAGTGTACTCGGCTGTCAGACATGCAGCTGTCCGTCGCTCACGCGCTGGAAGTACCGCGATCAATGCGAAGACAGGGTTATCGGTAGGAAACTTCCGAGAAGGTTTTTCTCGATAAGGTCAAGTTCAGGGACCGTGGGGTCGATACTCTGTTAAGTCAGGGTCCACTAATAGACTAGTCCGTTACACTATACTCAAAATCAGGGATAGGAAAACTATTACACTTATTGGATCTGGGTTGAGAAATAAGTGATTCTGAAATTTCAGTCTCCACTAAGTGGAAAGTCTGAAATCACCCTGAAATCAGGGTAATTACCCTGATAAAATCAGCCCTGCCTGCAACACTACTAGCGATCAACCCTGAGCTGATCCCTGGCTAAGTCCTGTTTAGGATTGTAACAAAGATCATTGTACCTCATCTTGCCATGATAGTCATAGAGGTGAAGTATGCATGCATACTGTACAGTAGTGGTTGGTATTGGTTTATGCTTCATGATTTGATAATACGGTATGTTCAACTCCATTTTGCTTTGTCAGGTTCACAAGCAACAAGCAGAATGGAAAAGAGTGATACGGTATTTAACCACGACTTACTGGTACCACTACGAACCTAACCGGACATTAGGTACGGAAGTCATATTTTCCTCCTCTATTGTAGTGAATCTGGGAGACGTCTGTCTACTTGAGAGGTTTTAACTGCAGGCTTATACCTACATGGTGGTGTCGAAACTTAGGCATAAGTGAGGGGCTAATCTTAAGTGGGGGCCTAGGCATAGAAGCCTAGGCCCAAGGAGATTGAGCTAGGTTGAGCCGAGGAGGGGGAGTCGAGAGAATTGTGGCAAGAAAAGAGGGTTTCACTATAGCAAACAAGGAACATATAGGCAAGAGAACAAGCACAAGAGGTGCACCACCAACAGTTAATAATAACTACACTAAACTACAGCTACAGGCAGTTACATAAATATTCCAACACTCCCCCATAACTGCCTGCAGCAGGAGTTTGTGCAGCAACACCTCCTGGATGAATACACCAAACAGAGAAGCAGCACTACGCAAGAGCAGTGACAAGTTTACAAATAACAGCAAAGAGAGGCAAGACGCATAACAAGAGAGGCAGTCGGGATGAGGAGAAACTGCTAGCAGGTGAAGCTGCTGGCACCGAGGCGGCTGCTTCCTGGAACCTCCCCCAGTCCTCCAAATCCCCCTTCCACACTCCTCGACAACCCTAGCACCTCTCCCCCAGCTCCCCCACACCCTCACACCCTCCCCCCCAGCGGCAGCTGCAGCAGTGGGAACGAAAGGAGGAGGAGGGGAAGGGGATCAGACACAGGGGCAGCACAGGCACGGGTGAGGCAGAGGCGGCTCAGGGCACTATCGCGGGCGCCAGGGGCGGGTCCGCGGCGGCTCAGGGCACCGTCGCGGGCGCCAGGGGCGGGTCCGCGGCGGCTCAGGCAACCGTCGCGGGCGCCAGGGGCGGATCCGCGGCGGCTCAGGCTACCGTCGCGGGCGCCAGGGGCGAGTCCGCGGCGGCTCAGGCTACCGTCGCGGGCGGCAGGGGCGGGTCCGCGGCGGCTCAGGCAACCGTCGCGGGCGCCAGGGGCGGGTCCGCGGCGGCTCAGGGCACCGTCGCGGGCGCCAGGGGCGGGTCCGCGGCGGCTCAGGCAACCGTCGCGGGCGCCAGGGGCGGGTCCGCGACGGGCAGAAAAAACGTCACGCGCCACCCGGGCGCGGGACAGGTTGAAAATCGCCACGCGCCCGAGGCGCGCGACCGGAAAAACAGCAGCGGAAGCGAGAGGCTGGCCCACAGGCCAGGACTTTACAGGCTCTGATACCATGTCGAAACTTAGGCATAAGTGAGGGGCTAATCTTAAGTGGGGGCCTAGGCATAGAAGCCTAGGCCCAAGGAGATTGAGCTAGGTTGAGCCGAGGAGGGGGAGTCGAGAGAATTGTGGCAAGAAAAGAGGGTTTCACTATAGCAAACAAGGAACATATAGGCAAGAGAACAAGCACAAGAGGTGCACCACCAACAGTTAATAATAACTACACTAAACTACAGCTACAGGCAGTTACACAAATATTCCAACAGGTGGTGTGGTGGTGGTACATCAATGATTACTGCACATTGTCATATTCATAGACCTTCACAACCGAATTGAACGACACCTGCCTCTTCATCTTCCTAGACCGTTCCTCCAGTGCACTACCACCCACACAACCATCAATCGTCATTGCACCTCCATCCTCCTTGTCCTTCTCCTTTCTCTCTGCCTCCTTGAAACTCACACTCCCCACCCCAAACCGCTCCTTCTCCCTCTCCCACTCCCTCTCCCTCTCATCCTCCCTCCTCCTCTCCCATGCTTGCTCCCTCCTCTCTTCCCCTTCCGACTCTATCCCTTCTGCACCCTGCGCCTCCAATTGAAACACCTTCAAAAGGGGATGAGAAACTGGAACAGCTTTACTCCCTCCTCTCTCCTGCCAACTCAAGGACTGCGTCAACCCACCCCTTTGGACTCCTCTCCTGTCCTCTGCACCTTCCCCATTCCTTCGGTTTACACCACCGCAGTTATCCCCCCCACTGGCATCTCCTTTATAAACAGATGTTGAGAATTGAGCCCCATCCAGTGTCTTAGTATACGCTGCCTCCTTAGAGGAAAGATGGTGTGCAGATGGATTAAATGAGTGAACAGACACAGAGGTCTGGTGCCTCTGGTCAATTGAAGTTTGGATGAGTGTGGGTGGGAGTGTGAGTGTGTGGGTCAGTGTGGGGGCGAGTGTGAGTGAGTGTGAGTGAATGGGTGCAGAGGCTGTCCTGGATAGCGGAGGCAACAACATGCCTTTTCTCTCTCTGTCCTCCTCCCCTCCCCTCCCGTCACATCTTCTCGCTTCCCGTTCATTCCTAAACGCAGCCTTCCTGTTTCCTCTCATCTCTCCATCCTTCTTCCTCCCATGCGCCTCGCCTCTACCTTCCCCCTCGCTCCAATCCCCACTTGATTCCCTCCCTCGTCCCTGGTAATACCTCACCGTACCTGGACTTGAGCTTCGAGCCCATGATTCCAAGCTTCTTACTGGACCTAGCAGCGCAAACATCGAATTCTGCTGCTGCCGTTTCTGGGAGTTCGGCTCGCCATTAGCAGGTCCGGGACTAGGCTTGGCGGAGCGCGCAGTTTTAGGTCCGGAAGTCAGATGCTCGCCCCCTCTTGAATCTTGAGACAGCACTGCTGTTGACAGCATCGGAAGAGATAGGTTCGGTTTGGACCAAGAGGCTCGGCCGAACCGGCGGTACCTGAAGCTGCCTCTAGAGCTGCCAGTCTCACTCATGTATCCACCGTCCCCCTCCCCCTGCTCCTCCTCTCCTCCGCTTACCCTCCACAACCTTTCTCCTCCTCCCAAACCCCTCTTTCCTCCTCTTAGTCCACCCATTCTCCACCTTCCCTCCTCCCTGTCACTAGAAGCTATAGAGTCACCTCCATGAGCATTGCCATCAGCATCAGCAATCGCCATGGTCAGATCGCCCATACTACTCACCCTGCCAATGCTGCTGCCGCTGCTGCAGTGGCCCTGCAAGCTCTCCCCCTCTCCACCGCTCCCCATGCTTCCAATGCTGCTGCGGTGGCAGCGGCTGTTTCTGGGGATCGTTCGGGGACTGCCATCGGGGCTAGTACCCGGGCTGCTACCAGGGCTGCTGGCAGGGCTACTACGAGGGCTGCTGGCAGGGCTCTTACCAGCTTCGCCTTGCATGCTTGATGCGTCGCAAGCATCAATGCTAGCTGCGATGCTTGACGTGCTGGCAGTACTCCCCATGCTCCTGTGCCTTGCTCTCTCCCTCTCTGCCTTCCTCTCTCTCTCCCTCATCCTCTCCTCCCTTTCCCTTTCCCTCTCCCTCTCCCTATGCCTTTCTCTCTCCCGCTCCCTCTCCCTCTCCTGCTCTCTGCTACTCTCCATTTCACTACTCTTTTTGAAAGTTCTCCTGCCCGAGTTTCCTCCATATAGAGTTATCTCGTTCCAGTTGAAAGTCTTGGAATGCAAGGCTCCGTCCATATCACTAATACATGAGGACTCCCGCGTAGCATACCCACTAATACCGCTTCCAACCGCACTACCTTCCCCCAAGCTTCCAATCTTCTGAATTGCACACTCTCTCTCTTTCTCACTAATACCCTCCTCACTCCCCCTCTCTCTCCCCATCCCCACACACCCTCCATTCGCTCTTGCTCCAACTTTCTCATCCACCCAGGTTGGCAACTGTAGCACCTCACTCCAAACCTGCCCTCTTAAGTTCGGTGGGCTCAACCCATACCCGGAGCTGCTGTAGGTTCGGGGAATGCTGATGGTGGCAGAGGAAACGGAGGAGGTGGGGGAGAGAAGGGAGGACGGGAGAGAAGGAGTGGTTGGAAGGGATACTCCCAATGAAATCTCTCCTACTCCTGATCCGTCCTCTCCCACCCCATGGCAAGCAGCAGCGGCAGTGACTACAGAAGGTGTTGAAGCGACTGAAGCCACTGAAGGTACAGATGAGGCTGAGACTACTGAGAGGGGTCGTGTTTCCATACCCCGGCTGCTGCTGACACACAGCATCCCATTACTGTCACCTGGCCTGCTGTCACAGTCTTCCATCTGTTGCCTTTCGTTGCCAATACTGCATACACCGTCCTGCTCAGCCTCTGCTGCTGCTGCTTCGCCTCCCCTTCCTGCCACCACCGCCGCAGCAGCAGCAGCTGCCTGCACCCCCGCAGCAAGCCTTTGAGAGCACGCAAGAATCTCCCTCGTCTGGGATGCCACCTGGGATGCATCAGACGCCTCACCACCACTGCCACCCTGCAGCACCCCGCCCCTGACTGACCCAGCAGTAGCACCAGCAGCAATAGAGCCTCCACCACCCCAGGCAGCAGCGAGGGTGGGCGGCAGGGGAAGCAGCGAGGCATCATCATCCAGAGAGGCAATGAGGGCCTGATCCCAGGCGTCACTCAGGCTGGTGCGCGGCGATGCCAGATCGAGTGTGTCTGCTATCGAGGCGTCTCCAAACGAGGATGAGGAGAGCGACAGCCAGTTGCTGTTGCCCTGCCTGCCTCTCCTCCTCCTGCCAGCGATACCGCCTCCTCCCACACTAGGGCTTTCAGCTGTGAGGGGTCTTGGCGTCACACTCACTTCACCTGCTCTTACTGAACCACCTGCTGCTGTTGCTGCTGCCGCTGCTGCTGCTGCTGTTGCTGCTGCTGCTGCAGTTGCTGATGCTGCTCTTGTTGCTCTTGTTCCTGCTGCTAAACCTGTAGCTGCAGCTGCCCCACCTGCTCCGCCTTCACTCCCCTCACCCATTCGTCCCCCCATAGGCCCATACCTCCAACCCCCCCAACGCCGCTGCACTGCCCGAGCCGCCCCATCAGGCTTGGAAGATCCCCGAACCTCGCCGTCAGGCTTGGAGGATTCCTGAATCTGTGCGTCAGGTTCGGGAGGAGGACGGTCCGAGCCTCCTCCCGTGCCCCAGAGCGCGCCGAGCCTGGCCAGAGCTGTTCTGTGGTCGTTAAGTAAGGCGCGGTTCAAGCTGCTGTGTCTAAAGAGAGGGAAGCCTCTGCTGTGCTCTGTGGCTGGTGCCTTGTTACTTGATAGTGTTACGTGGTGACCGCTAGTTGCCTCGGCTACAGTGGCACTGAGACTTTCATCAGGGGCACAAATGTCAGCGAACGGAGCAGTGGCAAGAGATGTTACTGTGTTACCAGTGGTAACACTGTTACGCACTGCTAGAGCATCGGATACCCACACCCCTCCGACAGTCATGTTGCCGAAATCCCATGACCCCGACTTGCGACGAGCCTTCATCCTCCACCCACCACCACCATCACCAGCAGCAATAAATCCAAGTGTCGGTCCACGTGACGTGTCATATGGTGCCTCTGACGAGTTGACCAGTACCCTGCTGCCAGGTGGCACGCTCGGTGATTGGTCAGAGAGGACGGGAGAGTCAAATGCGGTACAGCGTCGACGAATGGAAACCGTTGCAGCCGCTGATGCCACTCCTGCTGCTGGTGCTGCAGCGACTGCTGTCCCCCTATCTCCTGCTGATCTTAAAGCACCAGTGCTGGTTCGGACCGCACCAGACTGCATTCCACCGCACTCCAACGAACTGTAAGACATGCTACCGTGCCCCTCCTCCTCTTCCTCCTGCTCTTGCTTCCGATTTCCATCCTCTCCCGTCCCCCAACCACTCCCCTCCTCCTCCTCCTGCCCCACCACTCCGAATCTCACAACCATGGGGCCGGACTTGCAAGCCCTCAGCTCTCCTCTCCCCTCCCCTCCTCCGCCCCTTGCCTCTACAGTCGACCGACACACGCGGAGCTCTGGCCGCCCACCTACCTTTCCGAGACCATCCCACCCACCACCACCACCATTATCAGCACCAGCACTGCCATCAGCATCACTAGGAGCAGGAGCATGAGAGAACGAGCGGGTGCTGCTGCCAGCAAACGAGCCTGCTCTGCTGCTCGTCTCCTCCCACGCCCTGTCGAACCTCCTTTCAGCACTCGAGGTGGTGGGATCGCTGAATGGAACAAACGGGAGGTTGTGCGGAGGGGCAGCAGTAGCAGCGCCCACACTCCCACTCAGACTCCCACTACCACTCACATACCCACTCGCACCTCCCCCCTGCCAGCTTCCCAAGCTCCCCACACTGAACCCCCTCCCCCCTCGTTCACCCTCCCAGCTGCCCCCCTTCCCATCTCCTCTACAAGGCGTCTCCATACAATACTGATCAGTGTATTTGCGCCATTTCTCCTGCAAAACGCGCGCCGAGAGCACGAGGTTAGCGGGGCTCCAGGGGGAGGGCGGCGGGCTGTCGTCGGTGAGAAGCTGCCAGGAAGCATGCGCCTGCGCAATGATTGCCAGCGCCACGTCAGCAGCGCCCGCCCTCTGGTTGAGCCCAAACTCGTTCTCCTCGTCGTCTGCAGCGAGGGAGGCGGTGGGAGGTGAACAGGAGGGGAAGGAGGAGGGAGGTGAGGGGAATCGGAGGAGTGAGGGGAGTCAGAGGAGTGAGGGGCGTCGGAGGAGTGAGGTGGACAGGAACCAAGTGACAAATAACCCAGACATGGCAGGCACCTAGCGGGGACGTACAATACATCCCATATCTGCAGATGGGATGAAAAAAAAAAAAAAAGATTAGATGGAATAAATTATTCATTATTTAACAACAATAAAAATATAAAGAACAAAAAAGAACCTTTAGGCGTTTACCCCACCTGGATCGACGCAGTCGCAGAATCGCAGCCATTCGCGAATGTCGTCCAGCAGGCCCGGAAACAGAGCATGCAAATCTGCCACGTCATTTATCTGATCCGCCACGTCATCCTCCAGGCCGGCACCACTACCTCGACTACCACTAGTACCCGGCGCCGCGGGAATAGCGAGAAGCTTCCAGGAAAGGCGGCTCTTCTGTTGCACAACCGCGAACGCTCCGACCACTTTCACCTGACACACATCCCCTGTCCGCAAATCGCGGGACGGCAGCCTATTAGACAGACTGATCGACGAGGCGCCCAGCGAGGCGAACCCGGCCCGCGACGCGTCGTTGAGATCCAGCAGCAAGGCATCCATCGGACCGCCTTGGTACGCCAGGCCGCCATAGTCGGGGTTGGGCTGCGCGGGGTCCGCGTAGGTCTGCGGGAGAAACCCTAGGCTGAACCGCGTAGCGTTCTCCGCGAAATGCGCGGGCTTAGAAGGACTATTGTCGAACTGGGCGATTCGTAGCGGAGTAAACTCCTCGTCCTGAGCTACCTCGTACTTTATCCACGAGCCTCTAGGCGTCGTGCAGACGAAATTAAGGAGCCCGTCGCGGCTGTAAAGCGGCACGTGATGCCACCAGGAAATCAGCCTCAAATCGCGGTCAACCGCCAGCTGGCGCCACGTCAGCGTGCCGACGTGACCGATCTCGATGGACGTGGACTGGAGAATTTTGTCGTGTATCGGAGTTGGCGGGGTCGGAGTGAGAGGGGAATCATGCAACCCGCGGCCGCCGCTTCCGGTGGGAGTCGCGTCGCTTCCTAAAATGTGGTCCCAAGCGGAAGATACCGAGTCGCCATATCCCGATGAGTGAAAGTCGGCAATGCTTGTCGTTACGGTGGTGGTGGTGCTAGGAGTAGGAATCACTGAGCTTTCTCTTACTAAGGACGTCTCTAAACTAGACCGCTCAGCTCCGCTACCACTATCAGTAGCACCGCCTGGCTTGGTCTCTATCGTCGAGCCGCTGTCCACGTCAGCATTCTTCATCTCCCACGCATCGTCCTCCTCGTCCCCGCAGCTAATCTGCAGCTTCCGCGTTCGTTTCATTATACCCGATTTAGTGCGCCTCGACTCTAGACTCCCTGACCTGAAACTGAGCAGGCACCAGAGTTTTCTGGTACACCGCTAACGCAGACCAGACGTGTTACACTTGGTTACACTTGTTACAAACGCGACCGCTGCCTCGGAGGGAAGTTCCACGCTGAACGCGCTTAGCTTAGCGCCTACCGTCAATCTTCTAACGCAGCTGAAGCCCTGCTAGCGGCGGTGGTCTGCAAAGGACGCATTATCAAAAAGACTAGGCCGTCCTACACTCAACAACCAGAGGACCGTGGTTTGTCAATGACAAGTTTGTGCCCAAGTGAGAAGTGGAGGGAAGAGGCTGTCAGCCTCGAGAGAAAACTTGAACCCCGGCAAAATGATATGCACTCCTCACTGTGACGCGCCCGGGCCCGCTAGTTGAGATCACGAGTTGAGATCACGCCCCGATCGCGAAGACGTCACTGTGAATCTTTCGTTAGGGTGTAACTTGTGACCCCTTGGTGTGACTCGCTACGGCCTGTTCCGCTCAAATCGCAAGCAGAAGGGTGAAATGTGGGTACTCCCCAGAAGATTATTTTTGATCGCTGTGACTTCTTTCAGGACGTGATACAGATAAGTGCGATCTGAGGTATAAGATTGATCTTATCGGATCGATTTGGATTGTCTCGACCTGACGCAGTGCGAACGTTCAGAACCACGAAGGATCTTTCGCGCTGTGACATGTACATTCCACATCAGTGTTAGCGAATTCAAGGAATTTCAGTACCGCGCGAACTTGTGTTCTGCAGTTCGCCCAAACTGTGTAAACTGTAGCAGCGACCAGTAACGAACTTCTTTACGTCTAGTTACTTATTGAGTGTGTCGTCAGGTACCTGATCTGACGCAATCGATGGCGATCAGTTGCGTCGGATTGGGGTTACCAAACAATCGAAAAGATCCCGATTGGCTGAAAGACCATTCGGGGCTTCCACAAAATTGTTAATTGCTTCTGATGGACGCGATTGCCTCAGATCGCCTCGAATTCCACCATATCCTAGTTTCCTCTCTTGCTGTGGTAGGCCGCATATTTCTTCCTCACCTTTGTGCCGGGGAAGCGCTTCGAACTCCGCACATCTCTTCGTTTCGCCTTTTAGCGGCAGAATAGTTTGTATTAGTGTCCTTGTTCCGAAGCTTGTATCTAGGATTCGTTACTGACGCGTGCAGCGCGAAATGTTTCAAAATGTGCGAGTGATTATACAGTGTCATCTTCAAACCAGACCTTGTTTCGCGTGATTATTGCAAGATTCTAGCCGTCCGTCGGAGCCAGATTTACGAGATTTACGAGTTTTCTGAGCCGTGTGGCAGCATTGCTCTATCCCGCTCTAGCAAAGGAAGCCCACGGAAGTGTAGTATGAACGACTCGCTGTACACATTGTATTTGCAGATTAAATGAGTCGAAGAGTTTTGGGATGGACTAGTACTGAGGTCCCTCCTTAACGCCGCATCTCGAAGCCGATATTGTTGAAGATGAACGGCGGAGATTGCGCCATTCGGGCCATGTGGGTTGTGGCTCACCACCAAGCGTACGGCGGGTCGTCCGCTGCTGCCTCCGACCCCACCTGCAGCATCCTCTTCTCGCGGTGAGCGACCCACGATTCGCCACGTGGAAGCGAATCGTTACGTGGCAGTGAGTTGCCACGTAGCAGCTAATCGAGCAAGCCTCGTTACGGTGGTCTAGCTGCAGCATCCTCGTCTCTTGATGTGATATTTCGTTTTCCTCACGCCCCTTTTATCACATCACTCTTGCGTCCCACTTCTTCTCAACTGCCCTTCTGCTGACGTGTCCATCCATCCATTGTCCACGTGTCTATGATCTATTCACAGTCGATTTCCCACAGTGGATCGCCAGTGGCGTCTGCTCTGTGCCACGTCACCTGCCTCTAGTGAATATGCCACAGTAAGTGATACAGCAGCTACATTCTACAGTACGTGATGCAACATGTCTACAGTATGTCATGCAACATGTCTACAGTATGTCATGCAACATGTCTACAGTATGTCATGCAACATGTCTACAGTATGTCATGCATTACCTCTTCAAGTGCTTCAGTCTCTCTACAGTAAGGTGACGTCATTTGGGGGCCACCCAACTCCGAGTAAGCGGCTGGGAGGGCTAGGAGGGCTGGGAGGGCCGGGGGGGAGGGGGGGGGGGGGGGGGGGGGGGGGGGGGGCCTTGGGGGCTTGGGAGGGCCAGGCGAGGCCGAGATGCAGCTTTCTTGGCCCCGGTGACCTGCTTCCTTCAATCGCCAGTGTTCCCTTCCCCCCCCCCCCCCCACCCCCCCCCCACCCCCCCCAACTCCTTAAAACCCCCTATCTTCACTCCACCTGCCCACCCGCCCACCAGCGGGGTTCCCCTGGCCTACCATACCAGCAGCGCCAGGCAAACCCGAATAAGAACCTCCCCCAGGCCCGGTGAACCCTGTCCGCCTCCAACCACCGTAGTGTCCTGTCCCCTTCGACTTGTCAACCCCCCCAACCCCCTACCACCCACCCGCCCACCAGCAGGGTTCCGCTGGCGTACCAGCAGCGCCAGGCAAGCCCGGGAAGGCACCTCCCCCGGTGACGTACCGGCCGATTCCTCTGGATGATGAGATGAGCATTGCGTTCGCACAGCACATGCAGCGGTGAGTGTCAGATGAGTCATGTCGCTGTGCGTGTAGTCCCTTACCCGGACAAAACCTCCCCCTCGGTGACGTACTGCCTTATTCCATTGGACGATGATCAGGATTGCTTTTGCCCAGCCCAGTGCATGCAGCAGTGAGTGTGGTGGTGAGGTGAGGTTCCAGGAGAAGGAGCAGAGAGCAGGCATGATGGCTCTGAAGGAGCAGAGTAACTCACCACTCACCACCCTGTAATGATGTAACCCCTCAGTGACCCCTCAGTGACACACTGTTTGTTGTCGCTGGGCATGGAATTCGAATGTAATTCTCAAAGAGGCATCACGTGCAGTGGAGTGGAGTGGAGTGGAGTGGAGTGGAGTGGAGTGGAGTGGAGTGCAATGGGAAATGGAATTCTGAAACCATACAAGACACCTGGGGAATCGCTTGAATCTGAGTGGGTGTTTTGAGACGTCTCAAAACACGCTTGCAATGGGGAATGAATATCTGAAGCCATACAAGACACCTGGGGAATTGCTTGAATCTGTGTGGGGAATGGAACCGGGGCTTGGATGTTGCTCAAAGATAGAAACATGTTTAAAGCCCCGATTCCATCCAGTTCATTCCATTCCATTCCATTCTGGTTTTGTACTCCAGCCAGTGGCTGGAAGCTGAAGGCTAACCACTGGTCAGTGGTCTCAACCACTCTTCTTCCTTCTTTCGCGCTGCCTGTGCTTCTCCTCTCCTGTCCTTATCTCTTCCCCTCTCTCCATTCTCTTGTCTCCTTGTTATCCTCTCATGGGCGCCAATCTCTTCCTACCCCCTCACTTCTTCCTTGTCCCCCTTCCCCCCTTTCCCCAATCCGCCTCTTCTCTTTTCCCTGCTTCCTCCACTCCCTTGTTCTATCCGCTCCTCCTCATCAGCCTCAACTGCTCTCCACCCAATTGCAGTGCGGCTTTTGTCATCGGAACAGACAAGTGGTTGTGTTGTGTGGAGCACTCGCCCCTGTGTCATCCCCAATCTCCATGCTATTCTGAGAAATTCTAAATGCGACTAAATCTCTCTCTCATGCTATGTTGCAAAATACGCGACCAGCGTACGGTACGCGTTCGAACTATACGCTACTGTACATTCGTGATCCGCTGACTTCCAGCGTACAAAAGAACCCAAAATACGGACTGTCGGGCAGGCAAAAAGATTCTTTGGGCAGGGATAAAACACTTGAGTGGAGGTAGAATCCTTCAGGAGATTTTTTTTTTTCCTAGATGCTCGCTGATGCGGATGATCTCCTGGGCGTTTTTGCGATAAGGAGCTCTGAAATGTTTGAGGGATCGTTGGCCAGAATCGCCCTGAAATTTCGGCCGCGAAGATCCTGCGATGTGACGCTTAAGCCACAATTACGAATAACAGATGTGGCATTGGCGGTCGACGTAGCTGTTTGAAGCTACATCGTAGATTAAGAAGTGACGTAGAGTGAAATAGGTGTGAGACAATTGAGATACGAAAGGCTGTTGTACTCTCGCCGATGTGAAAGCTGCCAGCTGCTAGTGGTGGGTGGGAGGGAAAGGTTGGGTTCGGGAGGTGGTGTGCGGTGATGTGCAATGGAAAAGGGGGGTGGGGGATCAATTTGAGTCTCGAATGTCAAATTTAGGTTTCACAGAATCGCTGATTGCGAGAACGGCGGAACATAGTTTCGAGGTTTTTTTTTTCGGGCTGCCCGACCTAGCCGTATCGCGTATTATGGAACGTATCTTTCGTATATACGTTTCCGTACAAACGTGATACGCGTCGAAGCCTTAGCGTATTTTGCAACATAGCTCTCATGCTCTTTTTTCTGTACTATCCTCTCACCCCACTCGTCTTCCTCTCACCCCACTCGTCTTCCTTTCCCCACACTTCGTTTTCCGTTTCTTCTTCCCCCCCTCTCTATCCATCCTGCTCCTCTCCCCCTCATCAGCCTTGAATCTTCTCCAGCCATTCGCAGCGCAACATCTGTCATCGGCACAGACGAGTGGCTGGACGATCCGATAACGCGCCACGTCATCGGGCTGCGCCTCGTCAGCACCACTCCCACCCTCCCCGCCTCTCACTCGCGCACTCGCACCAGCACCACCCAGGCCAAAGAATCGCTGAAGCCTCGGGGAAAGGGGGGCGTACTGGGAGGGAAGGGAGGGAAAGAGGGAAGAGGGGAGGGGGGGAATGGGGGAGCAGCAGAGAATGCAGGAGGAGGAGCAGCAGCAGCAGCAGCAGGAGCAGGTGCTGTAGAAATGGATGAAGGGTTTCAAGGAGAGGCTTTGGATCAGAAGGCAGGGGGGAATGGCGGTGGTGTTACAGAGACAGGAACTTCTGCAGCAGCAAAAGGCACACCTG